AGAAAGACATAGAAAGAAATAGAAAGAAATAGAAAGACATAGAAAGACATAGAAAGAAATAGAAAGAAAGAAAGACAGAAAGAAAGAAATACATTAACAAACATAGATAAAAAGAAAGGAAAAGAACAGAAAAGAAAGGCTAAAGTCGGGATGAAGAGAAACAATACGTGAAAGATGCAGATAAAAGGAAAATACACTAGGACAAAGGAGAGGCCTAAAAGGTCCTAAAAGTCTAAAGCAAGAAAAGACGACCGAAAAAGGAAAGGGACAGAAAAGTAGGTCCAAAAAGGTCTAAAGAACGACAGAAAGAGAAATGAACGGACAGACACAAGAAAAAAATGAAAAACACGTCTAAAAGTATAACAAAATAAATTTGAAACATATAAAAGAGCAGAACAATGGGAGCATAGGTATTGATGCGGTAAAGTGAAAGGCCTCAAGCCCAGGTCTTGGCCAGGTTGCTGCATTTTTGCAGGTCATTTGCTGCAAGTCACTTCACAGTCAGCGACTGTCGTTTTTGTCACTCCATCTGTGCAAATCAATCCATCTTTCCGTATCTGTATACTTGCAAATAATCCTAACTATTTGAATAGGTGCTCCTTGTGAGATGTTGCCAACATAGCTTTTTGTTGCAGTCGTTTCCCGATTCTAAATGGTCTCACATTCACTGAAAGCGTTTCCAGTGAGTCACTTGGTATAGGCATAAGCACTTCAGTTTCAGAATATTTAAGAAGTGCTTCTCACAAAAAGACATGTTGAAATATGTTCAAGAACCGCAATGTCCCATGCAAAGTTTTAGGATTGACGTTGTCAGAGCTCGAGACATGCGAGCCCTTTGAACCCTGTGATTTGATATTGCTAAATATCTTCATGTAAAGCGCGAAACATGTTTGACAACCTATGAACAGCACTCTGCTTTCTTGTAAGAAGCGCTTCTTATTGCCAAAGGGGTAGTTGCCAAAGCCTAAACTGGAAGTGTTTTTGCCTCTTTGTTGCGAGCACCTTGGAAGGCCTTTGTGAATTCTTGTTCGCCGCAAACCCTGGCTCGGAAGTCAAAGTCTCGTTGCTTGTCGAGCCCCTCTGTGGTCTTGCTGTGCAAACCAGGTCATCAAGGCTGTTCAACATCGGCAATTGTCCTCATTTCCATCATTGGTATGGACTAGGCAGTACTTTTGCCTTGTTTCCCTGTTGCAAGACGATTTAGACCCTTGTGGTGATGTGCTGAGCAGACCTCGAGAGGCACAGTGCTGACACCTGATTGACCCGAAAATCACGTGTTTTGTATAGCGTTTCAGCTTTCCGACTATTGATAAAGATTGTCGCTGGTCAATTGCTGGAAAGGTTGAATTTAACGCTTGAATTGTGTTGAAGATTATGTTGAAAGGAAGGACGACACAGCAAGAAGGATGAAACAGTCTAAGGTGAGGGTCGAAAGAAGAAGAGAACAAGAAAGACAGAAAGAATAACCATGTTTCTTGCGCTTTGGGGGACCTATTCTGATTCGCTTCTTGTTTGCAGGAGTACCTTTCATGCCTTCCATGCTTCAGGCTGGTCACGATCAAAGTCATTTAGTGTTTGAGCTGGTTAGGTCGCAGGAAGGTGTGCCAGGAAGGTGGGCCAGTAAGGTAAGTAGCAAAATGTGCTACTAAGTAGCAGGAAGTTACTACATGCAAGAATGCAGAAGAACCCTTCACATGCTTTAAACAGTTCCAAAACAGTTGTTGCAGAGACCGCAATCTGGTCTTGCACGTTGGTACTCGAAACCGATGAAAGGAAAATACAAAGGTTGGAGGACATCGCTATTAGGAACAAGAAGCTACTAGGGGCTCCTGGCATCGCTACTAGGAGCAAGGACGCTACTA